GAAAAACGCGTTAACCTGTAATCACTTACTTATATTTCCTACCAAATATCGATTATTGGTACTAAAATTGAGTCAAAACTTAAAACCTCTATAACTTCGTTAATATCGAGTTTTTTGGGAAAAACGCGTTAACCTGTGATCACTTACTTATATTTCCTACCAAATATCGATTTTTGGTACTAAAATTGAGTCAAAACTAAAAACCTCTATAACTTCGTTAATATTGAGTTTTTTGAGAAAAACGCGTTAACTTGTGATCACTTATATTTCCTACCAAATATCGATTTTTGGTACTAAAATTGAGTCAAAACTAAAAACCTCTATAGCTTTGTTAATATTCATTTTTTTTGGAAAAAACGCGATAATCTGTGATCACTTATATTTCCCATCAAGTATCGATTTTTATAGCCACAATCAAAAAATATATCGAAATATTGGTCATAGACCCATAAAAGTACATATATTCTGGGTCCTTATTAAATTCTAAGACGATCTAGCCATGTCCGTCCTTCGGTCCGTCTGCCCGTTTGTCGATCTGAAAGCACGATAGAGTCCGAACGGAATAAGTTAGAGGGTTGAAATTTTCCATAAATGTTCTCTATAGATAAGGTTTGTTTGGTATTGAAAATGGGCAATATCGGTCCACGTTTTCGGATATCTGTTTTAACAGTACGATTATAGCGATGAAATTCGTCATAAATATGTTTCATATTGAGCCCTTTTTGCAAAATGGACGTAAGCGACATGATTTGCGATTTTCGTTTTTTTATAGAAATCTATAATTTGGGTCTATTAGCATCATCTCTGAAAATTCCGTAGCTATAGATCCAATAGTTTCAACTTTACAAGAAAAAGAAAAAAGACGTAAGTACACATTTATTTTCTGTTTATGAATTTTGTAATAGCAAGGTGTCGGTTACGTCTAAATTTTCTTTTAAAATATATTAAATTTATAGAAAAATTTTGAACAAATTAACGTATTAAATTTATTTGTGAATAAAATGCCACATATCTGAGTATAATTGTTATAAATTCATGTAATTATCACTAAGTCATTGCAATTTATGCGCTGAAATTTATAATTTTCTATAACTTTTTATGAATTTAGTTCATACTAATTACTAATTACATTACATTTATATTATTACCATTTAACCAACTCTTATATTTAGTTGTAAGTTTGTGGATTTCGGAAGGCGGACCTATATATGAAATCTTAATGAATCGAGAATTTACTTATTTATTCGATATATTGCGAATTGTACTACCATGTATAGATATTAATGTGGACATCTGGGTGATTTTCAGAATACGGCCTTTAACGAGGGATTTGGTCAATTGTGGACCGAGGTCTATATAATTTAAACGCGTGATTAGTTTCAAAAACAAATCATTTTTGTAGAATCTTATCATACTTTCTTAATTTTTGAAAGATTTGTTAACTGTAAACTTATTTTATGTATGAGGGACATATGAACTCATCCTAAAACAACATCAAATATCGTTGCTATACTGATATTTTTAAGTCAGCTATGGTCATAAAGTCATTTTCTTAAAGAATCCATATATGGAAGCTAGGGTCAAATATTGCCTGATATATTTCATACTTCCCAACATAATTTACAGGTATATAAAACTGACATCTGCAAAATTTTATAGCTATTGCTACACTGAAAATAATCCATGCCTAATACACACGAAAAATGTTGTACATTGTACGAAATGCTTCGTGGTTTCGCACCACGAAATTCTTTCGTAATATATACGAAATTGTACGACATATTTTAGTAAAATGCAAAATAATTTTATATAATTTTAGAAAAAAATGGTTCATTTTACGATTTTTTTAAGACATAAATATTTTAGTTCTTTTAAAATAATTATTGTAAATTTAGAAAAAGATTGCGAATTAAAAAAAACAAATTTTTATGTTTTTAAAAAAAACATAAAAATTTTTAAATTAAAAATTACGTTTAATTTAACTACCTTAAAATTACGAAAATAAAAAAAAAAATTGTAACAAAATAATTTTTTTGTGAAATCAAAAATAATTCTTGTATATTACTAAATAATCTTGTTACGAAAAAAAATTTGTTACTTTCGTTAAATATTACATGCCTTAACGAAATAATTTTTGTAAAAGAAAACAAAGTTTCTTAATATATACGAAAAAAGATATTACGACAAGTTTTCGTACTTTCGTAAAATTAGAAAAGCGGTTGATTAAACAATATTTCGTATTATACACGAAATTTTCGTATATATTACGAAAAAAGTAGTTACGATTTTTTTTTTCGTAAAGTTAAGCATGGATTATTTTCAGTGTACATAAACAACATATTTAATAATGCTTTAACTATATTCCGGGGGCACTTATATGGGATCTAGGTAAAATCATGAATCAATTTTGCTCATTTTTAACGCCGAACAATATTTGTCATCAATGAGCATTTTTGGAGAATTTCATCGCTCTAGCTCCCAACGTTCGGAACCTATTCGGTTTCAACAAACAGAGTGACAACGGATATCGCTAGATAATCTTAAAATCTTATAAAAAATATTTATTACACTCTTAAATTTCAGATATATACCAATTATATAAAAATATACAGAAAAAATTATTTTTTTAGACAGAGAATTTAGACGTAACCGCCTCAACTTTGTTTACATCATAAAAATTTGTCTCGGCAAAAAAGACGTAAGCGACAAAAAAATCGGATATATAAAATCGAAACAAATTGCATCTTATAATTTAGATATAATAATATATATTAATGAAGTTTTGGAGTAATGCTATGTCCTACTTCGAAGATAATTAAAAAAATGCTCTCCTGTAAAATTTAGTTTTTGTCGTTTACGTCTTCTGTGCGAAAAGGGCTCGATATGATCCAAAATCTCCCTACCAAATTTTATTAGGATCGGTCCATAATTGACCCTAACCACCATATAAGGTCCCCTTCAAAAAATGACTTTAACGCTTATTACTGTTTTATAAATCAGGTAGAACAATCAAATTTGACATAATTAAATCCCTGACGAGCCAAAACCTCTCTCCAAAATTTTATGTGGATCGGTCCATTATTGACCCTACCTTTATATAAGGTCCTCTTATATAGCGATGAAATTGGACACACATAAGTTTCATGCTAATCAAAATCTCTCTACAAAATTTTATGTGGATTGGTAAATAATTGACCCTACCCCCCATATAAGATCATTCTCAGAAAATTACTTTAACGCTAATTACTGTTTTAAAAATACGAGTATAGCAATGAAATTCGACACACAGAAGTTCCATGCGAGCCAAAATCTCTCTACCAAATTTTATGTGGATAGCTCCATAATTGACCCTACCCCCCATATAGTAAGTCTTTTTACGAGCATATCCTCTCTAGCAAATTTTATGTGGATCGGTCCATAATTGACCCTAGCCCCATATAAAGTAAAATTTGACATAAGTAAGTTTCTTACGAACCAAAAGCTAAGAACTTTTATAGGAATGTAAATCTTCCTACCGGAAAGTGTCGGGATCTGATATTCGATGTAAACATGTTTTATATGAACCAAAATCGGTCTAAAAAGTTTTGAAAAATTTTATAAAAACGGTCAATAATTCACCCTACCTCTCATATAAGGTCATATTAGTAAATTTGATGAGTAATATCACCCTGATGTTTATAGGAGAGCATTGCTTTTACGGCATACGGTTTGATGGTGGGTATATTAGATTCGGCATAGCCGAATATAGCACCCTTACTTGTTTTCTTTTAAATTATTCAAAACTGAACTGGTATTATTTACCAGACTTTAGACTCCCAATGTTAGATGGCGTTGAACTAAGTTTATCTACAGGAAGTAAGTATTTAGGGACTATCCTTGACTCCTTGCTCTTTAAGCGATCTTGGACATCACTCTTTAACTGTCACCTGTCAGCGGGTGTAGCGGCTAGAAATCTTCTAAGTCTTCGTTCGTCAAACCTTCACGCGACAATCGCACAAAAATTTTATACTTGTTTATGTGGAATTACAGATCATAAAAATACGACTGCAGACTTTGGCGAAACGCATCTAATGGAATTTCTGTCAAGGAACGATTGGCTTGCATCCGATATAATGTTTGATGGATGTGCAGTTTTACCGACGGATCCAAGATGAATGGGCATGGGGTGGTGATACCGATACAAAAAGGTCCTTCAGACTCCCTGACGAATGTAGAGTCTTCCAGGCAAAGATCCAAGCAAACTGATACAGAAACATTTCGATCTAGAATTAGTTGTGGGGCAATTTACATTCGCGCCTTGTTGTTGATTGTAGAAATGCTCTTACGGAATTTATGAGACTGTTTACTATTAGACTGTGTTGGGTGCGGGGGCACCGTAATGTGTTTGGCATGAGGTTGTGAACGAACTAGCTAGATTAGGTTCCAGCCTTGACATAGATGATAGAGATAGAAGATTGAAACCACATATCTGACACTCAATCCGTTACACCATCAACCAGTCCTGGAATATCAGAATGGCTTGCAAAATATCAAAGGCCTTATTGTCAACACTCGATGTGAGGGCTACCTAGATGCTGGATAGGCGCAGTCTATTACAGTCATTACTCAGTTAGGGCTCTTGCAGTCTACTATGTTTCGACAGGGTTTTATTGGCAAACTCAAATTCTCTCACAATTCTTTCTTTAGGGGAACAAGACATCGAGGTAGAAACCCATTGGGAATCGACCTGCTTTCATTAATTTCTTGAATTTGGGGGCTATATGAATTTCTGAACTGATTCCAATAAATTTCAACCGTGTTACGTTATATTTTCTAAACTTCTCGATAGCATGTATCATAGAATTATTAGCTGGGGTCTTCAGAAAACATACAGTCGGACACAGATTAATAGACTTCGCTAACTATGTATAAGGATTAAGAATATAATTTCTTATCGCATTTGCACGTTAATTTCCAGTTTCCAAATAGAATTGGGTCTTTCAATCAAAACAAAATAAGAGTGGTTTATAAAAAATACTCTAAATAGCAGTAGTTTATTTAAAATATATTATATTCAAACATTTCGACAAATATTCGCTAATTAAGCATGCAATATTTATGAAGAAATAGGTTTTTAATATCACCACTACAAGTTAGTTTTGGTTTTTAAAATTACACAGTCATGTTAAACAAAAACTAAAACATTATATTATTATTCTGTTTTCGAATTTAAACGGATTTTCTCTACCATTTTTTGGAAAGCCTCCTTATCGCCTTCAACTTTGACCTTGTTCTAAAATAAAGTAAACCGTTTTCTTTAAAACAACTTAATTTTAAAGTATTTTTAAATATTTACATCGGCTATAAGATCATCAAATGAAGTTTGTTTGGAACCCACCATAAAGAAGTTTTCATCACTTATTGTAACTTCGGCATCAGGTTCGGAACAATTGCCCTCATAGATGTTCAATTCTTTAAAATCAAAAACTAATAAACATGAATTAAAAACTATTTTTTGGTAATTGTTAGGAAAAAGTATTTAACTTTGAATCCACTTTACCTACCCACGCTTTTTATTAGTTGTCCTTCGGAATCAGTGAAATGAAATTGAAATATATTCATGACCGTACGTTTAGCAGGATCGGATTCGCTTAATTTATTACGTATTTTCTCAATAATTTGATCGCTTTGCATTTTGTATCGTTAAATCGTCAAAAAAGTAGAAAATAAATTCAAAATTATTCGTTTAAAAATTTACGTTGTATCTCTGTTTGCTGTCGATAAATGACTGAAGATGTTATAACATTCAACAATCAAAGTGGACAGTATAATCCAGTGGATGATCACATATATACGTACGTAAACTATTTATTGTTATCAATTAAATAGCAAAAGTAAAGAACGTACGTACAAACGTAAGTATTCCTTTTTTTCTTTTTACTTAGTTTTACTTTAAATCGAGTATTTTTAGATGCAGCCAGTTGTATTTTGCATAATTATTAATTAAATTCAATTTGTTGTAAGATTTTACGTAGATTTACGTTATATTTTCTTTTTTTTTTTCTTATTATCTTTCTATACATTGCTATGGGATTTTTTTTGTTTAGACAGACGTCATTAAAGAGTTACAGTCAATAGTTAAGAGGGCAGATAAAAATGACTTATAATAAATAAATTTATTGTATTATTACCTTAGGATTGCTTATGGTTTCCATAATTTTAATAAACCATCCTCACTGTAGGTGGCCAATAAATTTTGATGAGGATGATGTGCTAAACCAATGACATCTTTTTCGTGTACCTAAAAATTAAAAGAAAATATATTAAAAATTTTAATTTATTATTCCAAAAGCTATAAAACTTACATTTAATGTTCTCTCCAATTTGCCTGATGATACTGAAAAACAATACAACACTTGATCCTCACCAGCACAATAAATAAATTCTCCTCTTGGTGATAGATTGGCTGCTATGAAAGCACCACCTTCTCTTTTACCCGAACTGAATGATCGTACAATTTGTCCAGCCATATTCATAATGACCACAGTATTTGAACGATTGCAGACAATGAAATGTTCGGGATTTTTAGGTAATATTAACACCGTATTAACAGCTAACTCATTGCCTAAAGGTTTATAAGTTGACAAACATTCTGTGGTCTTCAATGACCATACTTTAACCGTGCCATCGGAAGAAGCACTTAAAATACTATGACCATCTGGAGTGAAGGTAACTTCATTAACAAACGAGGTGTGACCTTTAAATTCTTTCAACATTTTGCCAGACTTTAAACCATGCAAACGTATGGTATGATCAAACGAGGCACTTAATACTTGACTATTATCACGAGCAAATTGTAGGCAAGTTATACCTTTTGTATGAGCTTTATCGAATTTCCTCAAACATTGTCCCGTCATAATGCGCCAAACCTTAATTTGTCCATCTTGTGAACCAGAAGCCACCATTTCCGAATCACGAGAAAACGATAAGGCCAAAACGGCCTGTTCCATCATCATGAATTGATCTTGTGCTTGATATTTTAAATCTTTTCTTATTTTGCCTGTAGTGAAATTCCAAACTTCGAGAAAACCATCTACACTGCCGGTTATTAGATATTGACCATCTGGCGAGAATTGAGCACATTCGACATGAGATTTTTGTCCAAATTTAATTTGACGATACATTTGTGTTGGATACATTTCCTCTTCTTGATCTTTCATAGCGGCTTTACCACGGAACAAATCGATGGTGGTGCCAGGCGGCAATAGACCCTGATGTTGTTGCCATTTTAAGGCTTGGCCCAGTAGAGCCAAAAGACGGGATGAGGGTACAACATGTACTTCGCCACTTAATTCCTGTGCTATTATAGCACGTCTTTTTTCTTTGCTGCTACCTTCGGGATATGCTTCTCTGGGGTCAAAATACGCTCGCTGTAACATATTTTCTGTAAATAAAAAGCGGGTTAAAAGAAGGGTACACGGTGAATTATATATTTCACACAAACGTGTGACTGTCGATCTAAAAGTTGGAAATGAGTTAAATGAATAAGATACAGAATCAGATATGAATGTGTCGGATGTTTTTTCTTGATTGTGTGGAATAAACGAGAAGTGCTCTGAGTTGAGTGGTGACGGATGTATGATATCTTGTAAAAATTCCCTTCTTTGTACAGATATGTTCAGGCTCGACACTGTCCATACCAGACTGAGGACGGAAGTGAAGTTTTTGCATCTCAAAAGTTAAGCAACGAGAGAGCAATGGTCGGAGATTAGATAGCTCGAGTAGTGGAACCATGTGCCACCATGAGTGCAAGGTACATAAAGGTCAGTTTTGAGTAGTCTCTAGCTCATCCTCTGTTTGTAAAAGTACCACCGTAAAAAAGGCCGAAAGGTAGGTGTTCACGTAAAGCTTTTTGACTTATACATATCGACAGACCGACGGACATGGATAAATCGACTCCTGTTTCTATAAAGGCTCTTAACAATAGCTTTCGGTCCTTAGGCTAAAAAAAGCCAGGAATTTTATGAAATTATTTTAAAAAATACGATTTATACCTTGCTCACAATGTTTACATCGACATACAGACGGATGGTTGAATAGACAGACAAACAGACATGTCAGAATCGACCCAGAAAGTGATTCTAGTACTCTATAATTTTTGCTTGTTATAAACATCAAAAACGAATAATAAATCCTCCCCTCATACTGGTGTAGGGTATAAAAAACTTCTACACAATACCTCTAACCCAATATGCACCCACATTACAAACTCACCTAAATGTATATAACGTTCCGGTTCATGTTGTTTCAACATTATCATTGGATCCGTTTGCCGCAAAAGTGAACGTGCAGCACCCAATTCCCGCAATTCGATTAATTCCAAGACAATTTGTTCATATAAATTCAATAACTTCTTATCCGGTAATTTGAGACTTTGTGTCACCTTCAGCACTGTATCCCAATGACCATTTGTTATGTCCTGCACAAAACCATCTACACTGTCGACAGTATTTAATGAGACACCCGTCTCTTCTTGTAATGTTTGTAAAGTTTTATACAAATTCGATTCTTTAAGATACTGTTGGATCAGACGGATGACGCTAAAAAAATAAAGTGTGGAAAACAGAACTTATACACCGCGTTTTAACCGTGATGTTATTCTATGAAAACTTACTCAGCCGATTCGATCTCAATAGACATATTGTTGAATTAATTTATTTATTTTATTAATATAATAATTGTATTTACGGTTTTATTTATAATTTTACAATAAAAATGTAAATTTTTTTGAGAGCTCTCGCTAGAATTTTTGTTTTTACTTCAGAACATAGCTGCCAGATTTGACGATTTATCGTCATTTTGACGATTCTTCGTTTCAAAAATAGCAAAGTGACGATTTGACGATTTTTTCCTTGAAACTGACGATTTTTGAAAAATTTTTTAATAAATAAAGATCTTACATTTTTTTTTATTTTACAGTGAAAAAAGGAAATTAATATTAAACTTGGAATTCAGTGAAAATAGAATTTATATTATAATGAAAACTGGAAATTAAATTCTAGAAGAGCTATTATAAAACATTCTAAGTCGAAAAATTGTGTTTTGAGTTTTAAGCTCTCAAAGCTTAAACATATTTTACATCTAAATGTGTTTGCTATGTACATTATTTCTTATAACTTTTGAAGAGATCGACAGATCTGAACCAAATTTTCACATTGTATAAGTTAAATCCAACACAAACAAGTTTTGTAAAAGAACTAAATTATACGAAGAAATCTCACCAAGTTTAATCTTTTTATATCTACCCAGCAAAAAGTAGTGCTTCCTCGGAAGCAGATTTGTAAGGCAGAGAGCAGTTGTTACTGCTTGCACTTGTTATAAAAGAATATATGATTTTTATATGGGATTCGTCTTGTAGAGGCTCTGCCTAAGGAATCCAAAATGTGCATATTTCATACTGTTGAAATTGCGCTGATTTCTGTGAATTAATATTATTTTTCAACACTGAACATTGATTTAAATTTAGAAAGATGCAAAAATTAAGTGATTTTAAGTGTTGAGAAGCAAATTTCTACACCACAAACAATAATTGCTGAATATATGCCTTCCAAAATCTTTTTTGTAAGGTAATAATTTTAAGATGCAATAGAGGAAGGAGTTAAAGATGCAGTAGTTATATTTATTGCTTCCAAATCAAGAATATTTTTTGCTGGGTAAGTACTTGTTTACAGAAAACTTTCAAAACTTTTACAAACAGTTTTTTGCTTAAAAAGGATAAAATATTCCTTGTGCACCAAAACAAGCAATATTGTGATGCAACTAACTTTGAGGAATTTAAGGAAAAAGATGAACAAGTTTCTATACCTAAAAACTATATGTGTTCACTATGTAAATTTTAGCAGTATTTATGTTTGATATTTTTAAAAATGCCAGAACATTGAAAACATTATGAGAACATTAGAAAAGAATTAACATTACTGTCGAATATTCTTCAAAACTCAAAGTTTATTGAATTTTGAGCAATAATATTCCGTATGTTTCGAATTTTACATAAATATGTATTAATATTATAAATTTTTTAATATATTTCATCTTCAAATATTACAATATTTTTAATTTTTTATAAAAGCTTAAAACCAAAATGACGATTATATAAAAATTTATCGGGAAATTGACGATTTTTTCAAAAATTCATCTGGTAGCCCTGCTTCAGAATTCCCATATGTTTTTGTTTGTTGGCAGAATTGTATTCGGTTAAAAAATCAACATTACAGTAGAACTTGCTTATAATGCTTAGCTATTTATAGTTTCATTTAATTTTATTGCTGAACACAAAAGGCGATCTTTGGGCTTTAGAATTTATGAAAATTTGAAATGATCGTTTTGCGATATTTTTATACCTAAATATTTTAAATTTCTGAATAATATTTAATTGTTATAAAAGTGAGAAAGTTAATAGGAGGATGCATATAGCTACTTCAAATCCGAAGAAATACACCTAGGCCTCTAACGGGCCTAAAAAAGTAAGTTAAATAAAGTTTTTTTTAATAAAAAAGGGTTAAGTACCCTTTTTCGCCCAATAAAACAGCAAAAATATTGTTTTCAAATCATTTCCATTCGGTCCAAAATTACGCCATATATTTAAAAAAATATGAATCAAGGCAAAACGAAATTTATAAAATTCAAATGTCAATAAATCGGAAATTATATGAGATAAACAGCTCACGCAAGAATGTCCAATTAAGAATATTAAAAGTTGTGATAAAAGTAGAGTTCTATAGTTGAAACAAAAAGTCGACTTTTCGACTTTTTGCAATTTATGAAACCAAG